AAGTTACTTGGTTTGATGATAAGTTAATTAGTTAATTGACGTGTACGTACCGTAGCAGGGTCTGTCTCCCTGTCCTCTGCCTCCTTGGTGACTTTCTCCAGGTGTGCCTCCAGCGATGCCCAGTCCATCGTCGGCAGCGAAGTTTCCACATTATAAACATCGAAACTGCCGGCAGCGTCCGGAGATTCGTCCATGGTGCAGTCGGAGTCGGGATGGCCGCCATCGTTTTGTCTGTTGTTTGTTTCTGTACTTCTAGTCCAAGTTTGGTTCTTGTTCTGTTTTGTGTCGTACGTGTCTGCAGAGCTGAGCTGGTTCAGCTGGTTCAGTTCCTCGGCGAAGCTGAGGCTGTTCACGGTGCCGAGTGGGAGGGGGGGCGTTCTGGTACAGCTGATAATACTCCTCCTCCTCCTCCTCATCCTCATAGTCAGCAATGATGTCTGAACCTGGGGAGATCTTCTGGTCTGCTTCCTACGGACAACAACACAACAAGATAAACAAACAAACAAACAAACAAACATCCTCATAGTCAGCAATGATGTCTGATCCTGGGGAGATGTTCTGGTCTGCTTCCTACAGGAAACAACACAACAAGATAAACAAACTCACTAGGGTTTTGGGGACCCTTCCCCAGCGTTGCTACTGCTGTGGGTATCTTATGTTCCCCTTGTACCAAAATACCCCCAGCACGGCCCCATGTACCAAAATACCCCCAGCATGGCCCTTATATGTACACATAATGGAGACTAAAGCTGCTACAATAATCAGTTTAACATGTTTGCTGCAGAAAGTCTTCTTATGGGAGTAGAGGTTTCTTACCAGATAGTTCTCCACAGAGTATAGAGTTATAGAGTGAGCGAGAAAGGGAGTGAGTGAGCAAGAGTATATAGAATGAGTGAGTTAGTGAGTGAGTGAGTGAGTGAGTGAGTAAGTGAGTGAGTTAGGTGAGTGAGTGAGTGATTGAGTGAGTGACTGAGTGAGTGAGTGACTGAGTTAGTGAGAGTATATAAAAGTGAGTGAGTGAGTGAGTGAGTGATTGAGTGAGTTAGTGAGAGTGAGAAGTAAGTAGTTCTTACCGGAAAGTCTTCCACAGAAATTGGCAGCGACTCTCCTTCTGACTCTATCCCATCATCCTTTGAGAGGTCGGTGTTTGACCCGACTGACATGGCCGCCAGGCTATCGGTGTCACTGGGGTCAGAGGTCGGCACTGGGCCGTACGGAGTGAAAAGGTCATCGGCAGCAAGGAGGTCATCGCTGAGGTCACGTCGCTTTCCCAGCTCCTTTCTGCGCTTGTACGCACGCCAGGCTCGCTGGATCCTGTAGTCAATAATCAATAACCAATAATCAATAACCTCACCCAGGCTCGCTGGATCCTGTAACCAATAATCAATAACCAATGCCCTCCAGGCAGGCATGCTTCGGCAGTCCAGCTGCTGTACTTGTCTGTCCAACAAACCAAACGCACGCGCAAACACGCACACACCCAAACACACCCAAACACACACACACACGCACACACACAGACACGCACGCACACACGCACACGCGCACACACGCACACACACAGACACACACGCACACACGCACGCACACACACACACGCACACGCATGCAAACACGCGGACACACATGCACACACACGCACACACGCGCACACGCATGTGGGGTCTTGTGGCGTAGCGGTAGCGTCTTCGGCCCTGACTCGAGAGAGCGAGGGTTCGAATCCTGCCCGATGCCACCGATCTTGTGCCCTTGGGAAAGGCACTTAACACGACTTTCCTCACTTCACTCAGGTGCAAATGAGTACCTAGCTTCGGTTAGGGACGTCCCTCGGATAGGACGTAAAATGGAGGTCCCGTGTTGGGGAGAGCCACACCCCACGCACGTTAAAGAACCCACCGCACTTATCGAAAAGAGTAGGGGGCCTTCCCGGTGTGAGTGGTTCAAACCTTACAGTCTGGTCTCGGGGTTGACATCTTGAAGAGGTGATAGTCACCTGTTATGTCAATCCTTCCACAAATGTGGTAAATCGCCATAAAACACGCACACACACGCGCACACACACAAACAAACACATACGCACACACACGAACATGCACACACACGCACACACACGCGCGCACACACACACACACACGCGCACGCGCACACGCACACACGCACACACACGCCCACACACCCGCACGCACACACACACGCACACACACGCACACACACACGCACACACACACATGCACACACAATTGCCCTCGTGGGCTACTTCTCGTTCCCCTCTGGTGCAGGGTCTTTCAGGGCGACCCACACACAGCAAAGTCTCCTGCTTGGAGATTATATTGCATGTGTAATCTTTACCGACATGTTTGCAAGTCTGCATGTACCAGGTACAGGCCAGATAAAAATGAACATGACAAAACCTGAGCTGGAAGACAAATAAAAGAGGAAACTTACGTGACGATTCTCCACTTGTAGAATCGGGATCGGTTTTTGCGGATGGAGGCGTTGTCTTCATACTGCACTGACAGGTGGTGGCTGAAAAACAAGCAAAGGGAGTTCTTAAATCTTTCTTTCCTTCTTTCTTTTCTTCTTTCTTTCCTTCTTTCTTTTATTCTTTCTTTCTCTCTCTCTTTCTTTAGGATGCAACAGGGCATGACATGTCATGGCCAGGCAGCAACGCTACCACTGACACATACAACAATAATATATATAACTATAGTGACAAATATTGTTCAATATCAATATTATACAATTTTTAGCACTCTGAAAAAGCAAAAGTAGATTGAAATGGAAAGTTGGAAGGTCTGTTGGAGTGTTTTTAACAATCAGGATCAGAGGTGGTTTCTGCACTTCACCTCGAATTTTATGTTAAAAGTCATGATTAATTAATTCACCCCCTGGCATATAAATGACTTCTTGTCAGCAAACATGTTAGGACATCAGTGGATCACAACAGTCTGGTTTGGAAGCAGACGATAAACCGGACAGTGTGTGTGTGTGTGTGTGTGTGTGCGCTGGGAGTCACGTGTGGTTTTGAGAATCCACAGAAATGGAAGTTCTCAATCTTGACATGAATTTGATGATGATGATGATGAATGGTTTATTAAAATGCAAATCACTTGCAGCCCGCGGGCTGAGTTGCGGATTCGTTACAAACATTTTCAGAACTCGTATTAAGATAAAACATAGGGTCAATTATTATAAATAATTTGTAATGACTTTATCCAACTAACACCCAGATATTGGCTACAGCTGAATAACATTGTTGTGTTCTGTAAATTGTCCAGACTTAAATCTTTTAACAACAGCTAAAAGACAGACAATTTCTGTGTACAATCTTGCTGTATTGACTTTCTGCCAGCACGACTGAAGCTGTCATGTGAAGCCATTTGCCAGAGAAAAGGTGATCCAACCTGCGTCATGGACGCCATAAATTATTCTGCCTGACTGCGTCACATCCACACATGTACATCTGCTGTAGGTGTGTTCCTGTCTGTTGTGTTGGTTATTGTGATGTTTGTGCATCTGTGTTTATAAATGCTGATAACCAGACTCACTTCTCCACCAGTAGCTCCCCTTCCTCCACCTGTTTCAGCGCTTTCTTCAGTCTTTTGGCCTCCTCCTGAGCAACAACACAACACACATGTGTCATCTAGTTTTTTTTTTTTTTATTCCAACATGTAATCACCTGAGCGAAGTCATCAGTTCCTTACCCTCCTGTGTAACAACACAACAAACATGTGTCAGTTCTGCTGTATCTCTAACATACCCCCAAAGTGTTATATTTTAAATATATAAATACATTATGGTCTATGTATAATATAGCCACAGTATGTTAGTTATAGGTTCTGCTATATGTATGCTATATCCTGGAATGTTAGTTATAGCTTTTATTTTATCTATAATATATAAATATATAAAAATATATAAATACATTATACTGTATGACGTGTATAATATACCCCCAGCATGTTAGTTATAGGTTCTGTATGTATGATAAAGAAGAAAGTTAATTGCAAATACTTGCCAGAGGGCTAATTGCAGTTACAAACAACATAAGAAAGAAAATACAATAAAAAAGAAAATACAGTGGTATGTGAGACTTTATCTACGTCTAGCATTATACTATATTCTACAACATACATGGTACTAGTTTTATTGGGTTTGACTTCTTCTTTTTAGGCAATGGAAGACAAATGTATGATATAATATAATACTATACTGTAGAATATATACCCAGCATGTTAGTTATAGGTTCTGTATGTATAATATACCCCCTGCATGTTATACTTAATTATAAGTTCTGCAGTATGTATAATATACCCCAGCATGTTATACTTAATCATAAGTTCTGCAGTATGTATAATATACCCCCAGCATGTTATTAGTTATAAGTTCTGCAGTATGTATAATATACCCCAGCATGTTAATAGTTATAAGTTCTGCAGTATGTATAATATACCCCAGCATGTTAATAGTTATAAGTTCTGCAGTATGTATAATATACCCCAGCATGTTAATAGTTATAAGTTCTGCAGTATGTATAATATACCCCCAGCATGTTATACTTAGTTATACGTTCTGCAGTATGTATAATATACCCCCAGCATGTTATACTTAGTTATACATTCTGCAGTATGTATAATATACCCCAGCATGTTATAATAGTTATCAGTTCTGCAGTATGTATAATATACCCCAGCATGTTATTAGTTATAAGTTCTGCAGTATGTATAATATACCCCAGCATGTTATAATAGTTATCAGTTCTGCAGTATGTATAATATACCCCCAGCATGTTATTAGTTATAAGTTCTGCAGTATGTACAATATACCCCCAGCATGTTATTAGTTATAAGTTCTGCAGTATGTACAATATACCCCCAGTACCCCCCTCCCAGTGGCCCCATCAGGGAAACTCCCCTCTACCGACCAGACCAACATGTCACACAGGCAGCTAGGATTTTACCTGCTTCTCACACTTGCGCAGGTTGACAGAGAAGCCCATGGTGCAGGCAGCTGTCACATCCGGATCAGCACGGAAACAGCACACAGACAGCACACAGTCAGCACACAGTCAGCACACAATCAGCACAGAAACAGCACAGAAACAGCCGTTCCTGACGCAGCGAGAAACGAGGGGCCCGCAGAGGAACTGGAACTGCGCAGCCGGCGGAACCAGACTGCTGCGTCACCGCCTCGTGATGTAACACGCAGCCGGTGCAATTGAATTATGGGCATGTGCGGCTGTGATTGATTTTGCATAAAGGGAGGGCATTAAGCTGGTGCCAGGCTGGCTGGGAGAGGAGGCCATCATGCAGGCACGGCATCAACTCAGGCTGGCGGGACATTATACAGGCACACACTCAGGGATCGTGCTCAGGAATTAATGCGTCCCGGCAGCTATCACGCACGGGATCGCCGGGAAATGGCTTTCCAACTCACACGGAACCGCGGAATACATCAGACTCTGCCAGAATACAGAACAGTCTGCATGGCAGAATATAAAACAGACAGGCAGAATATTGAACAGCCAGAATGGCAGAATATAAAACAGGCAGAATGGCAGAATATAAAACAGCCAGAATGGCAGAATATAAAACAGGCAGAATGGCAGAATATAAAACAGGCAGAATGGCAGAATATAAAACAGAAAGCATGGCAGCACACAAACAGAATATTAACAGCCAGAATGGCAGAATATTGAACAGCCAGAATAGCAGAATATTGAACAGCCAGAAAAGAGGAAAATAAAACAGCCAGCTGTATGGCAGAAATTTTTATATATAACAGCCAGAGAGGCAGAATATATAACAGAAGGCATGGCAGAAAAACTAGTAGAATGACAGATTTTTTTAAATATGTAACAGCCAGATTGGCAGATTTTTTTATATATAACACTCTTATTAACAGCCAGTATGGCAGAATATATCAGAGCAAGAATGGCGGAATATAAAATAGCCAGAATGGCAATCTGTCACTGCAGGGCCTCTCATGGGTAGTCATGCATAATGCAACACCACTGGGAGTTACAGAAGCCATTCAATATCACTGGGGCCATTCAATAACAGGGGCCATTCAGCAGTACAGGGGCCATTCAGCAGTACAGTACAGGGGCCATTCAACAGTACAGTACAGGGGCCATTCAACAGTACAGTACAGGGGCCATTCAACAGTACAGTACAGGGGCCATTCAACAGTACAGTACAGGGGCCATTCAACAGTACAGGGGCCATTCAACAGTACAGTACAGGGGCCATTCAACAGTACAGTACAGGGGCCATTCAACAGTACAGTACAGGGGCCATTCAACAGTACAGTACAGGGGCCATTCAACAGTACAGTACAGGGGCCATTCAACAGTACAGGGGCCATTCAATAGTACAGTACTGAGGGGCCATTCAACAGTACAGGGGCCATTCAACAGTACAGGGGCCATTCAACAGTACAGTACAGGGGCCATTCAACAGTACTACAAGGCCATTCAACAGTACAGGGGCCATTCAACAGTACAGGGGCCATTCAACAGTACAGGGGCCATTCAACAGTACAGGGGCCATTCAACAGTACAGTACAGGGGCCATTCAACAGTACAGTACAGGGGCCATTCAACAGTACAGGGGCCATTCAACAGTACAGTACAGGGGCCATTCAACAGTACAGTACAGGGGCCATTCAACAGTACAGGGGCTATCCAACAGTACAGTACAGGGGCCATTCAACAGTACAGGGCCCATTCAACAGTACAGGGGCCATTCAATAGTATACAGTAAATAAAACAAAAGTAAATAAGACTAAGCAGAGCAGTACATTGTTGAGCTAGACCATGTGAAGGTAAACATTATATGCATAGGTATAAGTTTTTAATGTAGATGTGTTTTAAGAGCCCCTCTCTGCTACTTACATTAAGCTTGTCAGAAATACGTATTTGGCCTCACTCTGGCTGCAATGTAAATTCTATCTATGCAATAAACCATTCATTCATTCATATATTCATTCATTGATTAACATTCACTCATTCTTTCATTACATCTGAACACCTACTATTCTGCGTGCTAAACATTTATTTAACTTACACCTAAACGTAGACAAGTTTTTACAAACTAAAACCTGCAGGGAACAAACCCTGCTGCCTCCAAGGTTGACGCATGAAGGCCTGTCAGCGGTTTGACGGAAGGATTCCAACCATAACAAGCCTCAAAATGAACTTTTCTTCCTGTTGTCCCAGCACTGTCCCAAAAATACATTTCAATTGTCCCGAAGTGAGGTTGAACTGTCCCAACCTGTTTTTTAGTAACTATTGTATGACTTCAACATTAAGTAAACTATTTTGCATATATATATTACAGAATAGACAGAAAATTCAGGGGGACTTTCCGGATCCAAAAGCTGGGACGTGTGCCTGATAAACAAAAGAAGGGCTGACATTCTGATGTTGATTACTTTTCTATTGTCCCAAAAATGTCCGAAAGTGTCTTTTTAGTTGTCCCAGCCTAAATTTTAGCTGTCAGTGGAAATTGGACCAGCTTTAATTTCCAGCCCTGCATAAGGCAGGCTGAGGTGACTCGTGTGTAGAAACAGACGGACAAGTTGTTACATGAGTGAATGCTGTATCAGCAGCACCACCCGGCAGTCAGCATGGGAACTGCAGCCAGGCTTATTGACTGTGGCAGCATCTACACGTCAATAAGCAATGATTACTTCTACAGTATGAATCAGTGCTCAGTTAAACTATCCTGGTCAAACTGTGGCCTGAAGTTAACAAGATAATAAGTGGTAATAGCAACTAACCTGGTCAAAAGTTAAAAAGTTAATTCCCAGTTTGTAGCTAACGTGCTCAAACTCTGCCCATGAGTTAATGAGTTAATGACTAGTTAGTATTTCACCTGCTCAAACCATGCCCCTGAGTTAATGACTAGTTATTAACTAACCTGGTCGAACAGTGCCCATAAGTTAATGAGTAAATGACTAGTTAGTAACTAACCTGGTTGAACTGAGCCCATGAGTTAATGAGTTAATGACTAGTTAGTAACTGACCTGGTCGAACTGTGCCCATAAGTTAAAGAGTAATGACTAGTTAGTAACTGACCTGGTCGAGCTGTGCCCATAAGTTAAAGAGTAAATGACTAGTTAATAACTAACCTGGTTGAATTGTGCCCAAGTTAATGAGTTAATGACTAGTTAGTAACTAACCTGGTCGAACTAAGCCATAAGTTAATGAGTTAATGACTAGTTAATAACTAACCTGGTCGAACTGTGCCCATAAGTTAATGAGTTAATGACTAGTTAATAACTAACCTGGTCGAACTGTGCCCATAAGTTAATGAGTTAATGACTAGTTAATAACTAACCTGGTCGAACTGTGCCCATAAGTTAATGAGTTAATGACTAGTTAGTAACTAACCTGGTCGAACTGTGCCCATAAGTTAATGAGTTAATGACTGGTTAGTGCCTAACCTGGTCGAACTGTGCCCAGAGCAGGTTGATGTACTCCTTCCTGGCCAGGTGACCGCGGAAGTGCTTCTGCAGGGTGATCGCAGCTCGCTCCTCACGCGTCAAGTTGTCCACCTACAACAAACAAACACTGTAAACAAAACAGCTACCTGCCACAAACAAACACCGTAAACACAATAGCTACCTACAACAAACAAACAAACACTGTAAACAAAACACCCACCTGACACAGACAAACACTGTAAACAAAACACCCACCTGACACAGACAAGCAAACACTGTAAACAAAACACCTGCCACAAACAAATACTATATCATAACCCACACTAGTTAATATCAACCTGGTTCCTACCTTTGCTAACACACATTAGTTAATATTGACAAGGTTACCACCTTTGCTAAACCACACTAGTTAATATCAACCAGGTCCCTATCTTTGCCAACCCACAGTAGTTAATATTCACCAGGTTCCTACCTTTGCACACTAGTTAATATTAACCAGGTTCTAACCTTTGCTAACCCACAGTAGTTAATATTAACCAGGTTCCTACCTTTGTTAACCCACACTAGTTAATATTAACCAGGTTCCTAGCTTTGCTAACCCACAGTTAATTAATCAGGTTGCTACCTTTGCTAACCCACACTAGTTAATATTAACCAGGTTCCTACCTTTGCACAGTAGTTAATATTAACCAGGTTCTAACCTTTGTTAACCCACAGTAGTTAATATTAACCAGGTTCCTACCTTCGCTAACCCACAGTAGTTAATATTAACCAGGTTCCTACCTTTGGTATGACGCTTGCCGCTAGCCTGGAGTCGACGGCCTGTGGGAGGAACAGAAAACAGTTGTCATGGTGATGTGTCACAAACAAGCAAATAAACAATATGATGTTAGCCTGGTGTAGGAGGAAGGATATAAGACTTTGCTACAAGCTTAATCTTCTCAATCTAAATTCTGCATAACCTTTAGCCTGTGACCTCACCTAAACTGTGACCTGACCTGCATGGTCTCCCTGGTTTTCCTCCTGTCTCTGTGTAACCCCTGACCTGCGGCCTCATGATAACCCATGACCTGTGACCTGACCTGCCTCTGGTTCTCCTCCTGGCTCTGCATAACCCATGGTAACCTGTGACCTCACCATAACCCGTGACATTTGACCTGACCTGCATGACCTGGGTTCTCCTCCTGTCTCTGCATAATCTCTAACCCCTAACCTGTGACTTCACCATAACCTCTAACCTGTGACCTGACCTGCACGGTCTCCCTGGTTCCCCTCCTTCTGTCTCTGCGTAGCCCCTAAGCCGTGACATCACTATAACCCCTAACCTGTGACCTATGACCTGACCTGCATGCTCTCCCTGGTTCTCCTCCTGTCTCTGCATAATCTGACCCCTAACCTATGACCTCACTATAACCTGTGACCTGACCTGCATGCTCTCCCTGCTGGTTCTCCTCCTCCTGTCTCTGCATAATCTCTGACCCCTAACCTGTGACCTCACTATAACCTATGACCTGACCTGCATGCTCTCCCTGGTTCTCCTCCTCCTGTCTCTGCGTAAGGCCTCGTAACTGGGACACTCCAGCGTGGAGTCTGTGCTGGTGTTGAGGATGAGGTTGGCATTGTCAGGCACGTTGTACGCAAGATGGCCGTTCTTCATGTTTTTGCTCATGATGGTGTCATCTGCAAACCAAAGGAAAGGTTTCCATTAGAACAGGGCATGTGGAGGTTATAGGTTACAGTTTCCAGTTCCCCCTGCATACAAACATGTTCAGCTTACAGCTAAGGAGTTTCAAGTTCCCCCCTGAATACACAAGTAACTGGAAATGGAGCAAATGTGGTTCTGCCTCCATCAGCTCAATATTAGTTACCAGCGAGGCTGGTCAGGAATGGGTAATGCAGGAATGGGTAATGCAGGAATGGGTAATGCAGGAGTGGGTAATGCAGGAGTGGGTAATGCAGGAATGGGTAATGCAGGAGTGGGTAATGCAGGAATGGGTAATGCAGGAGTGGGTAATGTGGGAGTGGGTAATGCAGGAGTGGGTAATGCAGGAGTGGGTAATGTGGGAGTGGGTAATGTGGGAGTGGGTAATGTGGGAGTGGGTAATGCAGGAGTGGGTAATGCAGGAGCAGGAATGGGTAATGCAGGAATGGGTAATGCAGGAGTGGGTAGTGCAGGAATGGGTAATGCAGGAGTGGGTAATGCAGGAGTGGGTAATGCAGGAGTGGGTAATGTGGGAGTGGGTAATGTGGGAGTGGGTAATGCAGGCAGTCAGGCCAGTGTGAGTCACCCAGTCCTACTATCCAGAGGCCATCAGTTACTTTATGATGCTATAACTACAACACTGTGTGTTGATGCACTACAAGTTTATGCAAGGTGGTAGGTCCTGTGTGCCAGTTCCATGTACTGCAAACATTTATTACTGTTACAGATAGAAAATAGTATCTTAATCACTAGAGCTATGTACTAGCACAGTACTACCAGTAAAGTATCGCAAAAATTTAGGTTCAGGTCCCACGGCTCGAAATAGCCTGGGTGCCATCCGAATTTGTAACAGCTCCCCGGGGGAGCCGTTACAAATTCGGATGGCACCCAGGCTAGGCTCGAAATGCATTTGGGAATAGGTGCACTGGTGCACCCAACCTAAAAATTTGGGTGCACAAAATTTTTAAGGGGTGCACCATATAAAATAAAGTAAGTACGTAGAATGTCAGCGAAAACTAATAATTACTAGTATTATTTTCATTTCTAAAGTACTATAACAATGATTTTATTATTTTTCTGAGACGTGGATGTTATTAACTTAACAATATACTGTACACCTTTATGTACGAAACTATTTGGGTGCACTGGTGCATCCAAGTATGGCCCATCCAAATTTGGGTGTACTAAGGTGCACATGCACCCAGTATTTCCAGCCCTGATACCTAAACACTAAGTACTGGTACTGTACCAAAATAATTTCACACTTTATATGGCATAATTTGAACACAGCTCTAGCTGGGACAACAACAACACAGCTCTAGCTGGGACAACAACACAGCTCTAGCTGGGACAACAACACAGCTCTAGCTGGGACAACAACACAGCTCTAGCTGGGACAACAACACAGCTCTAGCTGGGACAACAACATAGCTCTAGCTGGGACAACAACACAGCTCTAGCTGGGACAACAACACAGCTCTAGCTGGGACAACAACACAGCTCTAGCTGGGACAACAACACAGCTCTAGCTGGGACAACAACACAGCTCTAGCTGGGACAACAACACAGCTCTAGCTGGCACCTGGGAATGGTGCCTTTAATTTAGACAAGAACACAACTTTTTGTAGGAATACTGACTTTAATTCAGACAACAACACAGCTCTAGGTAACAAGGGGCCCTTTAAATTCAGACAACAACCCAGCTCTGAGGTCAGGAAGCTGGGCTTTAATTGGGGCAGTCTAACCCGGAATTACGTATTCCGGTCCTCGCTCGCTGGTCCGTAGCCACACGGCGGGTTCGGACCCTGCCCCCTGATCGGGTCTCGGGCTAGTTTATCCACGATAACCTCCGTAACATCGTCATGACGTCAGTTCGTGAGTAAATCTGGAACAAACACAGAACCCGAGTTTCGCGTCGGGCGACCTGACTGACTGATCACTTCCGGGTTAACTCCCGCCCGCCCAACACACCCAAAACCCCTTCTGTCCGACACAGATACAACATCCGGCTTTCCTGGGCCCACTAGCTGTTCTCCTGAACACGCTCACTCATTCCCTCTATCCTGTACACCTGGATAATCCCGTCTGAGTCAGCCCTACCCCCCCCCCTTACCTGTACCGTCCCTTACCTGGGTTAGAAGCGCGTCCACTCTACAGTCTGACTCCGTCCTGTGGCCATGAGGGCCCTCAGCACTCTCACGGCGCGAACAGGCACGGAACTCGGTCCTCACGGCTCAGGAACGGGGAAATACTAACAATCTTTCCGCTAAAAATCACTGAAACTGTGTCAAAATGGCGACACCGCTCTCGTTCGCAGGATACTTCACCCACCTTGGGAACGAGACGGGATGACATAGTGGTAGTCTGTGGTAGTCTAATGAATGAATAGGCGACATCTAGCGGGAGTCATTATAATTACAGCATCCTCCGTGGGCGTCGGCAGTAGAACGCCAGAAGTCGGAATGGCAGGGCGCAAGTTATCAGTCTGTTACAAGCATCCCGGTTCTGACTTTGGATTTATTAGCTCCACAAATTAACTTGATTGGACTGTTCTTCAACTTATGACAAGGCGGAGTTGGCAATCTGGTTACCATGGCAACCATGCCGGGTTAAACTTAGCCTTAGACTTGGTCAATATCTCCTTATCGGTTCTTTACACCACTGCAGGGCGCTTGTTTAGTACGTCCGCCAGCTTATAACGTTCGTTATGCACCTTTACACCACTACAAGGGCGTCAAGGCGCTTGTTTAGTACGTCCGCCAGCTTATAACGTTCGTTATGCACCTTTACACCACTACTAGGCGCTTGTTTAGTACGCCCGCCAGCTTATAACGTTCGTTATGGCCACGATGCTTGGAGCTGAGGCGCAGGACGAAATATAAGTTCTGAGAGGGTCTGCATAGGGGGGTCCTGGCAACGGCTATATTTATGGGGTCCCACATGCCCCTTTTGCGTAGAGCGTAATCGGCCGTTTTGATTTTACGTAGAGCGTAGACAACCGCTCTAATGCAACGTAGAGCGTAATCGAAGCATTTTGCGTAGAGCGTAATCGGCCGTTTTGATTTTACGTAGAGCGTAGACAACCGCTCTAATGCAACGTAGAGCGTAATCGAAGCATTTTGCGTAGAGCGTAATCGGCCGTTTTGATTTTACGTAGAGCGTAGACAACCGCTCTAATGCAACGTAGAGCGTAATTGCCCCTTTTTAATTCAACCTAATGCTTTGTAGCTACCCGGAATTTACCGTAAAACTTAATTGACGAATTGCGTAAAGCGTAATCAAACTTGCCCAACCCTTGCCCTGAGTAGCTTGAGTGTCAGCCTTGTTAGCTCTGCCCTAATGATTTTGCTACGTAGGAAGCCACGTTTTGGGCCACGTTTCCCCCCAAAATGCAGGAAATGGCGTTTCGGCGGGTCAATGTTTAAACAAATTCCCCGGGGAGCATCCATGTATGCTCCCGGATCCCTCCTTGTGTCGATTGAGAATAAGTGGCATGTGGAAGAAGTCTAGAAGTTCGTGGATGCGACGTACTCGAGAATATCACATACTTAACTAGAAAGTACTCAAAACTTAGCTTTGTGTACTATCCAGGACCGATTTTTTTGGTTAGAATTCTCCTACAACTTTTAAACCTTTAAATGTAATTTCTCTTAATGAAATGTGCGTAATATTGTAGAACTAATCGATGCCGTTGTTGTCTGTTCTTAAAATTGAATTGTTTAGAAATGATCACATATGGATTTATCGCAAAACTAGATGCCAACACTCGCAACCCGTGTAACACTTTTAATTTTGATGTGGTTCAGTTAGACATTTTGTAATTTGTACGTAATTCAGCCGAATGGCTGCGAAGTGTCAACTGAAACAAACCGTTCGTACATACATAAACTCGAGGTTCCTTCCTTAAGCACTATCGAGGAGAAAGAGTGGTTCTAAACGGAGACAGAAAAAACTAAAGAACAAACGGACACGACAGGTTTTCTCTCATGACCGGACACCACTTTAATCTAAGTTTTCACATGCTATACAGCTGCGCAGGACGGTCTCCTAAAGCAAATCTGAAGTCAGGGCGGCTGTTTTCTGTGCTTAGTATCCGAATACTGGTCACTGGAAACGAAGCCACAAGAGGGAAATGTCGAACAAATTTCATACATGTAGTTACATATATTTATAACAACATACAGCTGTACCTTATGCAGTTAAAAGATACCCAAAGTTGCACATATGAAGTAAAAAACGGAGTAATATTTTCACAGAATGTTTCGGCATAGCTTCCCTGTACACCCTGCGGTAAAATAGGCTCCAATGTTACGCCTGTAGACTTTCCAAAGTGACCAGTATTTTCTAGTCTTCATAATGACATTCCACATAATGTACTATTTACAATGACTATGCGCATACAATTATACCTCCAGCCATTCATGTACAACATTGAAATATACATAATAGAATCTGTACAGCATAATATTAAAATGCTTTACATGATTGCAAACTTACTAGTAATAAAGGCATTTTCATTGCAGAATGGAAGACAACAAAATGATCTGCAGCACAAATAAAGTGCCACTGAGAAACTCAGAGCAGTCGGTATGGCAATAAAGTTTCCAGCTTTTGGAAGACTACAAAAATTCAAAAACAAAAATGAAATAAACCCAAACACCAAATGTGTAAGCCTTAACCTGTCATGTTCAGACATACAGTAATGTCAGTATAATTGCATAATCTGCCGTTCTGATATAAAACGTACATTACTGTTTTGCAACTAACATGACATATTGCACAAATATGACTACCTAGCAAAATTATCATTATTGGCTACAGAGCTTGGCTTCTATGATTCTAACATTGCACAAAATCCAACTCATTTCAACCTGGCACTCGCAGAAATCTATTGCACTTTGACAGCATCAAGGTTTGACCAACAGATGGGACAATATATACAGCTGCTGTGTAACCTACAGAACATTACAGAACTGCTGTGTAACCTACAGAACATTACAGAACTGCTGTGTAACATACAGAACATTACAGAGCTGCTGTGTAACCTACAGAACATTACAGAGCTGCTGTGTAACCTACAGAACAATACAGAGCTGCTGTGTAACCTACAGAACATTACAGAGCTGCTGTGTAACCTATAGAACATTACAGAGCTGCTGTGTAACATACAGAACATTACAGAGCTGCTGTGTAACATACAGAACATTACAGAGCTGCTGTGTAACCTACAGAACATTACAGAGCTGCTGTGTAACCTACAGAACATTACACAGCTGCTGTGTAACCTACAGAACATTACAGAGCTGCTGTGTAACCTACAGAACATTACAGAACTGCTGTGTAACCTACAGAACATTACACAGCTGCTGTGTAACCTACAGAACATTACAGAACAGCTGTGTAACCTACAGAACATCGCAGGACTGCTGTGTAACCTACAGAACATTAAACAGCTGCTGTGTAACATACAGAACATTACAGAGCTGCTGTGCAACCTACAGAACATTACAGAGCTGCTGTGTAACCTACAGAACATTTACACAGCTGCTGTGTAACCTACAGAACATTACAGAACTGCTGTGTAACATACAGAACATTACAGAGCTGCTGTGTAACATACAGAACATTACAGAGCTGCTGTGTAACCTATAGAACACTACAAAACTGCTCAGACTCCCCTAACAATACAAGTACATGTGGGGAGTATGTTACCTATGGTAGTGTGAATACACAATGTGCATCCTACTCATTGGTCTGACATACAGAATTCACTCAGTAAAAACAGCACACAGTTATCCAACATCACAGTTCTGAACTGTTGTAACACACCAAACATACATCATACTTTTCCCCGAATATTTACAGTTCAATAATTCACAGCATGTTCCCAGGTTGATGCTCTTATCTAATGTTCTTCCACATTTTTCTACGACTCAGTGTAACAGTCTACACTTGACAATACAGTAATATCCACTCATCTTCAGGTTCTATTGAGAGGTAATCGGCGATGTTAAGGCTAAAGGGTAGAGAATTTATCTGCAATTTCTCGTCACAGGTTTCATACAAATCAGTTTGACAAGCGACTCACAGAAATTTGCAATTGGTACAAGAACCTGTGGAATATTTATGAGCTTTATATACAGCGAACTGGAAGCTGATTACAGTAGTGTGGCCAGCCGGTTAGCCAGTCCGGGTCACTACACATGTATCCAATGTAGCCGGGCCACTAGCCTGCCCAAGTGTTTCAGTAAACCCTCTGTCTCTGGTGTAGCCTGTTGGTTAGCCTGAGGCCTGCTCGTCACACATGTATCCAATGTAGCCGGGCCACTAGCCTGCCCAACTGTTTCAGTAAACCCTCTGTCTCTGGTGTAGCCTGTTGGTTAGCCTGAGGCCTGCTCGTCACACATGCAGCCAACATCACATTTCCTTTGGGTCACACACCGAATACTTAAAACTGAATAACTTTTACACTGTCAGTGGTGGCCCTGATTCTGTCTGAAGGTTATATATACATGTAGTCCTGGCAAATAATGTGTTAACCTTTTAGTTCTTACAGGAAGGACTTTTTCACATATCACTGATCTGGAAATGGAGGCAAACAGGTCCAAATCTCAGTCTACATTTACTATTTGCCGCAACAATTTAACCAGCCACAGCCTCCGCACCAGTTCCTGAAGTTTGTTGCACCATGGACTTAGAAGGAGATGGTTGCAGAATGTTGAGACGGGCGTTTGTCCTTGATGACTGAGATTCGCCCATCAGACGGCTACAGAAGAAACGTCATTGGAATTTAAATGTCTGTGGTTCCTCCTGTGGTTTCCTTCTGTCCATTCATTCATTTTTATTTACATAACTCATTATGCTGCTCATCAGTCAGAAGTTGCCAAGGTACTGGTTGCCTTGGTGATGGTTGCCACAGTGATGGTTGCTACAGTTATGGTTGCCATGGTGATGGTTGTCATGGTGGTGGTTGCCACGCTGATGGTTGCCAGGTGATGGTTGCCATGGTGATGGTTGCCATGGTGACATCACATGCTGGTGGTGCTGCTGCTCAGGCCGCTGTTCTTCTTCAGCCTGGCAAGCGGGGACCGGGCGGAGGTGGTTGCCTTGGCAACGACATGACTGGCGGCCGTTTTGAGGCTGGAGGATCGCAGCACGCCAGTCTTGCTGGGCTGCTGAGGGGGGGTCTGCTTGGGGGGAGTCTGCTTGGGGGGGTTCTGCTTGGGGGAGGGCTTCCGGCTGATGACCAGGGGGCTCCTGGCCGGGGTGGTGCTGGAGGGGGTGGAGCGCCTGCGGGGGTGGGGGAGGCTTTAGGGGGAGGGGTGGGGGCCCGGGGGGTCGGCTGGGACCGTCTCAGGGCACTGTTTGCTGCCCGGGATGCAGAGGAGCGGGTTACCGGGGTAACTGTTGCCGGGGTAACGGTTGCTGGGGTGGCGGCTGCCTTTTTCCTGGAACTGCTGGCGGTAATCTTGTTCCCGGAGCTGCTAGTGGGTGTGGTGGTCTTGTTCCCAGAGCTGCTATTGGGTGTGACCTTGTTCCCAGAGCTGTTAGTGGGGGTGGAGGGCTTGTTCCCAGAGCTTTTGGAGGGAGTGGTACTCTTGTTTCCCGTGGGGGTGGTGGGCTTGTTTCCAGGCTTCCTACTGTTCCTGGAGGGGGATGCTGTACGGGTGGCTGCAGGGGGGGTGGTCTT